GTCAACACTGGAAGATTCCCCCATCTCTTCTGAACAAAACGGTGTAAGAATGACCGCTCTAGCCCCTACGGTTAGGAAATTATGGTCATTTGTTTGAGGGGAGTCGTCATTATGAGAAATAGGCTGCAATAATCCTGTGCCTCTCTGTGCTGCGTGTGTAAATAGATGCACCTGTTTTGGCGGGAAAAAGTACACAGGCTCTCTGATTGGTGGATTCAAATTCAGCAGCTCCCAGGCTGACCTAGAAACTTACTTCTCTCTCCCTGTGCATTTTTTTGCTGATTTTTTCATTTAACAAGTATATTTGAGGGACCCTCAGCATGTTCAGCATTTTTTCAGCTGTCCATTTTGCTTTTCCAATTTTTCTGTTTAACTTATTACTATTGTGCTAAATCATACTATTTCTGCTATTTTATAAGATTTGTGCAAAATATAGTATTTCTGATTATTTATAGTTTTTCTACTAAATCATAGTACAGTATTTCTGCTTTTTATAGGATTTGTGCTTAATATAGTATTTCTGCTAAATTACAGTATTTATGCTTTTTATACTATTTGTGCTAAAACATAGTATTTCTACTAAATGTAGTATTTATGCTTAATCATACTATTTCTGCTTTTTATAGGATTTGTGCCTAATATAGTATTTCTGCTTTTTATAGGATTTTTGCTCAAACATAGTATTTCTACTAAATGTAGTGTTTATGCTTAATCATACTATTTCTGCTTTTTATAGGATTTGTGCTTAATATAGTATTTCTGTTAAATTATAGTATTTCTGCTTTTTATAGGATTTGTGCCTAATATAGTATTTCTGCTTTTTATAGGATTTTTGCTCAAACATAGTATTTCTACTAAATGTAGTGTTTGCTTAATCATACTATTTCTGCTTTTTATAGGATTTGTGCTTAATATAGTATTTCTGCTAAATTATAGTATTTCTGCTTTTTATAGTATTTGTGCTAAAACATAGTATTTCTACTAAATGTAGTGTTTATGCTTAATCATACTATTTCTGCTTTTTATAGGATTTGTGCTTAATATAGTATTTCTGCTAAATTATAGTATTTCTGCTTTTTATAGTATTTGTGCTAAAACATAGTATTTCTACTAAATGTAGTATTTATGCTTAATCATAGTATTTCTATATATTTCTGCCAGGTCCCCAGGCAGCCAATCCTCTGTGAGGACTGAGACATTCAAATTTTCAAATCAGGGCCTGCACGGCTTCCCAGCCAATCATATATGTGTCCTGAGGCATTCAAATTTGCATATTGGGGCCTTCATGGCTTCTAAGCCAGCCAATCATATCTGAGGGCTGAGGAATTCAAATCCACAAATCAGGGCCTGCACGGCTTCCCAGCCAGCCAATCATATATGTGGTCTGAGGCATTCAAATTTGCATATTGGGGAATTCGTGGCTTCTAAGTCAACAAGTCATCCATGTCATATATCTCTAAAAATTCATATTTTAATGATAAATTGTCAACACTTGAAGATTCCCCCATCTCTTCTGAACAAAACGGTGTAAGAATGACCGCTCTAGCCCCTACGGTTAGGAAATTATGGTCATTTGTTTGAGGGGAGTCGTCATTATGAGAAATAGACTGCAATCCGGTTGTTCAGTGATGACGCGACGAATCCTACTTCCGGGTCTAAAGTAGTCTGCGTTTAATATGGCATTTGTGTTGTTAACATGTTTAATGTTATGTATTTTCTTCTATTTGATCTCAAAAAGCTCCTAAAACAGTCAGCGATCACTGTTGACCTCCCTCGGCTTTTATTACCGCTAATCATTTATTTAAGCTCAGTTTTTAAAACCTTAGGATGTAACTACAGCCCAGCCCATGCAGCAGTATATGAATGACTAACCTCGTATTGTGGATGGATTATCTCAGTTGTTCTCCTGGCTGAAGTTTGGTCCGTTTACAGCATCCTGCCATGCAATTACATTTGTTCCTGACCACCGAGAACACTCACGGTAACTTTTATCAAGTGGAAAAAAAGTTAGCTTGTTTATATTATGCTAACATAGCTGTGTCGCTAGCGGTCACGTAGCACATCATTATATACCAGCTAGCCAAACTTCAGTAACCCTACAAACATCACTGCTGTTTAGCTTTCTGTCTTCATTTATGTTGGAAGTGATAACAGAGCTGTACGTTTTCATTTGTTTCCAAAACCCTGCAGTCAGGACATGCTATATTGTATTTAGATAGAAGCTAGCGAGCTAACTCCCTGCTAACTTCTAACTCCGTTAAATGTCATAAATTCTGTTTTCATGGATGCCTGGATGTTAAACTCAATTGTTACACCTGGTAGAGCAGAACGCTGATCATTTTATTAAAGATGAAAGACTTTAGACAGTTTTTCAACTCACAGTAATGCCATAGTGATCGTTTGATATATGGACCTGCAGCGGAGTTTAGACCCAGACACGGCTAGTGACGTCAGACTGAACAACCGGATAATCCTGTGTCTCTCTGTGCTGCGTGTGTAAATAGATGCACCTGTTTTGGCTCTCTGATTGGTGGATTCAAATTCAGCAGCTCCCAGGCTGACTGAGCTAGAAACTTACTTCTCTCTCCCAGAGAGAGAGAGAGAGAGAGAGAGAGAGAGAGAGAGAGAGAGAGAGAGAGAGAGGCGCCTTTTAATGGGATGATCTCATTCTAAGATTCAAATTCAATATATTTAGACTGGTTGACTGAATTGGATCTTGTGTGTGTGTCTCTCTGTGCATGTGTGTTTCCTTATGTGTACATATTTCTGATTGTGTGGCTGTTATATATTTTTTTGCTGATTTTTTTCATTTAACAAGTATATTTGAGGGACCCTCAGCATGTTCAGCATTTTTTCAGCTGTCCATTTTGCTTTTCCAATTTTTCTGTTTAACTTATTACTATTGTGCTAAATCATACTATTTCTGCTATTTTATAAGATTTGTGCTTAATATACTATTTCTGCTAAATGTAGTATTTATGCTTAATCATACTATTTCTATATATTTCTGCCAGGCAGCCAATCCTCTGTGCGGACTCAGACACATATCACATATCAGGGCCTGCAACGGCTTCCCAGCCAGCCAATCATGTCTGAGGTCTTCCGTTTCCTCTCTCGTCATATCTCAGCGACGGTTGTACAAAGAGCAATGAAAATCGCAGTCAAAGTACACCAAAGTCCGCTGATTCACCCAGTACAAGAATTATGCCTCTAGTCCACCTAGTTTTTGAGTTACACAACGTTTTGTAACTCCAAAAAACGGCGTTTTTCGCCTCTCACCGGGATCTAATTCTGACTGCTCATCACCCTGTTTTTCAAAACGGCTCCTCTCTTTCCCAGTGGCGCAGTTGGTAATGACACGGGTCTGCAAGCCAAAGATCGTGGGTTCGATTCCACCTTGGTCAACATGTTTTTTTCCCTACAAATTAATACACTGTCACAGACCAGTAATTCATATTCATCATTTATTACAATTCTGCAAACTTTTATGATTTTACCAGCTTTTCTAATATGGACCTCACATTCTTAACACTCCATGGCACAAATACTCTTCCCTTTAGGCTCTGTGTATGTGTGTGTGTGTATCAATATTTCTCCCATTTTAAAGTATTACTCCTCCATAATTGTATTTCTGTTAAATCAAAGTACTTTTACTACATCTTAGTACTTCTGCTCAATCATAGTATTTCTGCTAAATCATTGTTATTATGCTATATTGTAGTATTTCTGCTCAATCATACTATTTCTACTATATTATATTTTTCTTTCTAAATATAGCATTTCTGCTATATAATTGTATTTCTGCTATGTTATAATATTTGTGCTAAACCAGAGTATTTGTGCTGTATCATAGTATTTCTGCCAAATTATAATATTTGTGCTAAAACATAGTCTTAATTTAAAATTACAATATTCATAGTTCATCACAGTGTCTCTGGTAAATCACAGTATTTCTGCTATGTTGTACTATTTTTCTAAATCATAGTGTTTCTGTAATGCTTAAGTATTTTTGTCTAAATATATTCTTTCTGTTATCTTATACTATTTCTCCTAAATTCTTGTATTTTTGAGAAGTTATGTTTCTGGTAAGTTACAATATTTCTGCTAAGTTCTGCTATGCTATTGTATTTCTGCCAAGTATTATGTTTCCTCTAAGATATTGCAGTTCTGCTAAGTTATTCCATTTTAGCAAAGTTCCTTTGCTTCTGCAAAGTTTTTACAATTTCTGCAACTTTTCAGCTTTTTCAGCTACTTTTTGCATACAGCTTCAGCTTTAAAGCATCCACACTGCATTTTCGCAGGAAATGCAAATTTTTCTAGTTAATCTCTGTCTCTCTTCCACAGCATGTCTTTATCCTGTCTTCCTTCTCTCACCCTAACCAATCACAGCAGATGGCCCCGCCCCTCCCTGAGCCTGGTTCTGCCGGAGGTTTCTTCCTGTTAAAAGGGAGTTTTTCCTTCCCACTGTCGCCAAAGTGCTTGCTCATAGGGGGTCATATGATTGTTGGGTTTTTCTCTGTATCTATGAAGCGCCTTGAGGCGCCTTTTGTTGTGATTTGGCGCCATATAAATAAAATGGAATTGGTCTAAACATGGACAGGTCATTACAGTCTGAACGTGTGAAGTCTTACGCAGTGATCAGTCAATGGTTACGAGTCATTTCCAATGAAAGCCAGTAATATGAAGCTACCAACTGTCGCTCTCATGATGGGCTTGACAATAAAAAAAATAAATAGTCAAAGTTGCACTGCTCTCAACAGTTTTTCAGCACTTAAGTGATGGAGTGAAGCATCCACCATCATTCTTTCATCCTTGCATGCATACACACATGCACAGCACATTTACACCAACACTTCATGGCAGGTCTTTTTGACAGTGTAGCAGACTTGTAATATTTTCACTCATAATGTCAATGCAGTGTTAAAGTACAGCTTCACTTTTAATCCACATTCAGTAGTCAGAGTGACACAGACACACACAAAAAGGATGGCATAACTCACCGGGCCATTGCCACTCCGAACACACATCCACCAACGGTCGACCAGAAACCAATCCAGCCTGCATCCACCTGTGTTTAAAAAGAGAGAGAGAAAGAAAGAAAACAAAGGAAAATGAGGTGGTGGTTTGGGAGAGAAGCCAAGAGAAAAGAACAGAAAAGCATACACCCTGTTCAACATGCAGTCCATGACTGAGGACAGAGCTAGACAGAGAGCAGGCTCTAAGTGCCTGAAGACTGTGAAGGCCTGCCAATCACCGTGTCCGGTAAATTGCCAGGGTTGGCAATGTTGCATGAGTGTGTGTGCGTGCGCAAAGCTTGCTGTCCTTTTTTTATTTTCCAGGATGAAAGTCAAAACACACACACACACACACACACACACACACACACACACACACACACACACACAAAGTCAGAAGAAAGGACACTTTGACCAAGGGACTGCCACAGAATCAATAAGAGGTAAAATACAGCACGCCTCCCTTTCTCTCTCTCACACACTCACAGGAAAAGTCAAAGTGCCAATAAATGCATTTGGTTCTCATAAGTCTTCTATTGACAATAACTTTCATTAAGTCAAATTCAGATGGTAGATCATTCAGCGAGGAAGCTGAATCTAAAGCAGGACCTGATGCTTTCTGCTTAATCACACTCTGCACCAATCTGTCAAGAAAGTTCACGATGAAGAAAAGTGGACTATCAAAGTTATTAAATGTAGACCGATTCTAGCTTACAAGTGATGCATGCCAAAATGCCATTATATTTGATCAGAGTTTTGTGTGGGCCAGCCTTCTGTGAAGCAGTGAAGATCAATGGAAAGGCACTCATCTCATGTTTGCATAGCCTGAAGCAGCACAGAGAGGTGAACTGTACTCCCCAAGTAAATAAAAAAGATCTAAAAATATATATTATAAATCAAAACACCCACAACCCTGTAGCACCTATAATTGCTGTTTATCTTCCATGTAGGCCGTGCAGCACTGATGCTAGGATTTTCTATGGTGTATGTCACATCAGTTTGTGCGCCAGTTCAGGGAGCTAAACACAAATTGCATGCCAAGCCATTTCAATTCAAAAGATACAAATTACTATGTTTCATGTGTGGGTGGAGAGTTAATTAACTGCAGCATTCTCAGTGCTTGGATCCTTTAAAAGGCCAAGCCTGAAGCTTAATCATGTCTGCTATTTTGTGACTGTGTCAATAAGCTGGCGACGACTGCAGTTAGGATGGAGAAAGCCATATCATGTTAATGTGTTTGTTTCTGTTTTCTCTCTTGATCGCTTGTCATAAACCTGATCCTCTGAGAAGAAGTGGCATGTTGTGCTAATGCTGAATCTCTTCGTATAATCCTAAAAATCCACAAAGCAGTGTTTAATGCTGAGAAGTGTTTTATGTGAAGGCAGAACATGTTAAAAAGTGCTTCAAAACTCCCAGTGGTTGTGTATTGGTATTAAAAAAAAAAAAAAAGAAAAAGAAAAACTAATCTTACTAAAAGAAGCAGGACGCAATCTGCATTCAAATTCTATGCATTCTAAATGGGTCTCCATTAAAAACTGATGAGCTGAAGCACTAAAGCACCCATTTCCCGAGACCTACGGATTGTGATGATACTTGTATCTGCAGGTTTAGCACATTTCCCCTCTAGAGCTCAAATGGCATCCTTAGCATCGGACGTTTGGCGCTTCCCCTGTGCATCTAGTATCCAAATTCCAGAAATACACACCCTTGTTATAATAGAATAGGTGACCATTTTTACTTTTCTCATCCTTTTGCGTTTCGATGGCTCTTGTCCTAGTATCACCCCAACTCCCATTTCCTACCACAAACAATCACAGTGGAGAGGCACAGAAACTGCGGCGTGATTGCATTTGAAGAGAGCGCCCATTTGCAGGTACAAAATTGAAAAGAATGGCAATTCAACCACTGACATGAGTTTTTTACAAAAGATAAAAAACAACACAAATTTTGTTGTCTCAATCTCTTTTCTGGGTGGCCACACAGCACACACCGTGTCAGTATGGAAATATATTGAGGCATGACTTGCTGACTTGTATTTGCTCGCTGGAAGATACAAGGCCTCGGTGGAGTTTGTCATTTTCTTCCCTCCTGGGGTGATTGTATGTGCACACTATGTTCTAAGAGCGTCAGTAATTTCACGCATATTTTTAAGACTCGCATATAAACCAAACAAACATGAAAACGTGAGTTTCCTAGTCGGGCTCCAGTCAAATCACCACATGCTGTGTCATTTCCCTGCCAACAGATCCCCGTGTGCCTCTGCCCCTCTTCCAGTCATTTACTCAATCAATCCTTGTAAGTCGTTAAACATCACTTCTAGGTCGTATTTCATGAAGTCATAAAAAAAACAGCATGACGACCGAGACCAGAGAGCTGGCTAGGTGCTGTAACAGTCTTTGTCACTTGCAGAGCATGTTTCGTTCGCCTTCATGTTTTATTTCTTTATTAGTTTTTCAGACACTCTGCTGTGGGACAAGAACATGTTTGTATTTCCAATAGACTCTGGGGGAGAGGGGAAAAAAAAAGAAAAGAGACATCAACATTTGTCTAATCCAGTGACAACTGATTGCTCTTACTGCCTCACGGCACTCATGGTCACCTCTCACTCAGGCTGGGTGGCTAGCTGCGGAAACAGATGACAGAAGCATCTTTATTCCAGAAAAGGACCCCGAAGAAGCATGTGTAAGAAAAATGCTGACAGAGAGAGGGAGGAGGAGGAGAGATGAGGTTAGGTCTTGAAACACACCAAGGATAAATGACTGCATGAATCAGCAGCAGAACTGAGTTACCAAATGTGTGCACTAGAAAAGAAAAAGAAGTGAAAATAGAATTTGAAAAACGGTGCAGTGAAAAAAGGATTTGCCCCTTCCTGATTTCATTTACGCACATTTGTCACACATTAAAGATCAAATACATTTTATTTTAGACAAAAATAATTTTTTTAATGTAGTTTTGAACGAGGATTTCATGTATTAATTGGGGGGGGGGGGGGGGGGGGGGGCTATCCAAACCTACGATAAATCATCTGACTTAACTGAATAAATTTCACCAGCCACACCCAGGCATGATTAATATCACACCTGCTGAATCAAGACATCCATCAAATAGAATCTGTCAAACTGACAAAGTGAAGTAGGCCAAATGATTAAAAATTTAAAAAGCAACACATCAAGCCATGATCTAGAGCAGGGGTGCCCAATCCCGGTCCTCGAGAGCTACCGTCCTGCAGCTTTTAGATGCATCCTTGTTCCCACACACCTGAATCAAATGAATGGCTTGTTATCAGGCCTTTGCCAAACATGATGGCATGCTGAAGAGATCAAACCATTTGATTCAGCTGTGTTGGAGTAGGGATGCATCTAAAAGCTGCAGGATAGTAGCTCTCGAGGACCGGGATTGGGCACCCCTGATCTAGAGAAACCGCTAAAAAACAAATATTATGCTGGAAACCCCTCCAGCGTGGATGAATAAAAAGAATTCTGCAAAGAAGACTGAGCAAAATTTCCTCCACAGCAATGCAAATGACTGAATGCTGTTCTGCAGCCAAGGCTGGCACACCCAGTTACTAGGTTTAGGTGGCAATTACTTCCACATCGGTTTGTGATAACCTTTTTTCACTCAAATTAAATCATCAACTGAATGATGCATTTTGCATCTCATCTGGTCATCTTTGTCTAATATTAACATTTGTTTGATGAGCCATTACATCCAATTTCAACCAGACGTGGATTCAGAAAATGATTCCGCAGTAAAGCAAAGGTGTAAACATGTGTTCGTGAGTAAACCTGCACCAACATGAGCAAATCATTGCAAAGCAAGAAGAAATTAACAGGAAATTTCTCTTTTGCTATTAATGCTTTGTTCATTTTAAAATGTCAGTAAGAGCTGAAGGCAAATGCAAAGGGAAAAGTTTGCACTTAAACAAAAATTCCAGTGCAAATGCATTGGTGCTTGGGGAAAGAAGAAAAAGATCTAATTAGATGAGAGCTTGCTTTTATATAATGCCTATTTTACTCCCAGCACAGTGTCTGTCTGCACCGTCTCTGGATGTGACAGTCAACAAAGTTTAAAACACACAGAAAAACAAGATAAGCTAGAGCTGCGATTGGGATCTGTGGGTGCATCTTAAGCTAAAACAAAATAAAATGCAGTATTTGCTTTTCCTTAGTTCAACTTGACTTCAATGTCTCCACACCCAAAGAACAAAGCTTCAGTTGCATTCGTACTGCACCACGCACATCGTTTCATTTATTTTTAAGCTCAACTTTTATACCCAAGGGATAGCTCATCTCACTGCAACATACTTTTTGTGTTTTCAAATGTCATGGATAAAAAGAATTTGAGAGAAAAAAAAAATCTTTTTAGAACAAATGAAATCTAAGAACAATTTGGTATGCGCCCCGCTTCCTCTTGACAGAGGTATAATGTAGAGGGTGTGACAAGAAGTGTTTCATCCCCCGCTCTGCTGCGTGTGATCTCCTCTCCAGCAGCACCTGTCTGGCGATAACCTTGAAAAGATGCTTCCTTTGCCTTTTGACATGCTGCTGTGTTGAGACCTGGAAGATGCAAACCATCCAGAGCTTTTTTCCTTCCTCCAAGCTGCACCACTCAAAATTACTCTGTTTTTCTGTCTCAAATGGAAGATGGCTGGCAGGCATGCGGATAGCGATTTGCAATCGATTGTGCCCTTCACAAAAGACGCAGCTATGTGTAGGCTCAATAAGTGCAAAACAGAAAAAGACAGCACCAAATCAAAATATGTGATCATATTTGGTTATTTTTAGGTTTCACATGGGGAGTGACAGTGTGTATTTATTCCTGCACAAGAGTGGATTAATACAGGCTTGCAAACGGGTTCTTTAGAATTCAAACGTCAGAATTCCTTCCACATCAAAATATACTTCTCAGTCTTGAATATCATCATGTGTTCTATGTGTGTAATGTCATTTCAGTGCATCATCTTGATAATAACAGACTTTACAGTTTACTGGCAGGAAGAACATCTGAGATATATTTCAAGATGCAACAATGAGAACAAGAGAAAGGACCCCAGCTGTTCGCCCCATTGTTCCATTCAGTGGGCCGCATGTGTGAAAAGCTTTTCAAATTATAGACACAGGTGGATGAAAACTGACTACTTACCTAGTCAAATAAGAGAAATACAAATATTCATACATATTTTTTTTTGCAGTTCACCCACCTAAAGGGTAACCCAGATGAAAACTAGTCTGTTATGCAGGAAAAATGCCGACCTCGTCTCCACACTTTCCTCAAAAGGCAGTCAAAACACCAGTACTGACCTGTTCTTTCAAAAGGGCACTGGAAAAAAAATGAAATCTGAAGAAACAGCCTCTTACTGAATGCTTTGAGGTACTTCACTTTACTGAAGCTGGTGCAAAGGCAGTATGTTATCCTGTGTGTGCGCATTTGTGCCATACCTGGCTGACTTTGGCTGGTGTAAGAACCATGTCGAGGACGCCCGACCAGCCAGCAATCACTCCTGTGGGGACTGCATAGGCCAGTGCTATCATCAGGAACCGCAGATTGCTGAAAGAGACATTAAACATGTCAATCACAAGAAAACAAACTATATTATACTATACATCATCCAGCCTCCAGACAGAAATTTCAGCACATTTGTAAAATCTATCAATGTAATCTTGGGAAAAAGAAAAAGATTTGAGACCAAAAGTGTTTACAGTATGTACTAATTAATGAGAGATAGTATCTCACTGAATGCTACAATTTAACATGCAGTTATCCAGATCTTTCATACCTTGAAAGCATCTGGGTTTATTTCAGTCCTAAAATAAATAGTATATTAATTGCGTATTGGTGTATTACTCCTACCTCTACTCTTACTTTAGCAAAAACAGATGATTATCTGATATTTATTCGTGTACCTCTAAAGACTTCTGCATATAAATGTGAGAGCTTGGTCACTTGATTTAATTGAAAGGATATCCTCTGCAGAATCACTGAGGGGTTCATAATTATAATCCAAGCACTAAATGTTACTAATTGCATGAATGCATAATGCCGCCTCCAATTACAGCCTACATCCCAGCAGCAGCGGCCCGAGATGAAACAATGAAAGCAGCATAACGTGGTGTGTCTTTCCTGTCCTGTTCATTGATGTCTGGAGGTCTGCCATCAGCTGTCATCCCACCTGACACGCACAGCCACACGCACTCAAGTGCTTCTATCTTTGTCAGGGTACTCACTGACATTAATGCATTCTGTAAATCCTGTGTCTAACATTATATACTTGCCTCCAACACTTGTCCCAGACTAAACTTAATGCTAGCCCCAACTGTAAACGCCCAGCGGTTCATTGAAATTGTGCCAGACAGTGACAACTAGCACAAACTACTCCTGCTACTTGCCAACCTTACTCAATCTTCACTCACAGATTTACTGACCAACATTACTGCAACTTGCTCCTATTCCACTAAACAGTTGTGAGCGCGCCCCGCACCCCCCACAATGTGATTACGCAAACAGATTTTGTCCTCACAACATGGATAATACACAGCACACACAGGCACACCACTTTGGCTCATCTCCCTGTGCCTGTCACAACAGAAAACCCATCCCTGTTCAGAGCACAGAGAGATAAGAAGCAACATGAACACTGGTGGGAAGCTGCCAACATTAAGCTAAAGGATCTAAAATAAGGACCAAAAACTCAGAATTAGGAATTTGAATGATCACTCAGAATACTCTGAATTCTTGGCACTGCACTGTAAAGCTTAACAGTGTGTGACATGTACTCGTTCAATGACTCAATTATAAATTGTCCATAAGGCAATAAAAATAATGACTGCAACCAGTGACTGCTGTTATAGCTGGAACACTTTCTATCACATGAACCTGTTTCAATAGCAAACCTATAAGAGCCTTCCTGCGTTTGCCATCTTACATTTCAGGTACTCTCATGAGAAAACAGTGTAAACACATTTTTACACAGTTGCTGTTAAACCATCTATTGTTATTACTCCACTCTCTAATGAAAGTCAGATCTTTGATACTGTTATGTCTGTCACTGCATAACAATGTGGTTTAAAAGAAAAAGAAAAATGGATTGCTTTTAATTGTAAACTCCTCAAAGACAGCCACTCGTTTGCAATTAATCACAAATGTGACGGGGTTTGAGGTTATAGTTAAGTGCACGTGAGCCACTAGTGTGTGCATTTATTGTTTCATTAGCTGCAAAACAATGTTTAATTGTTTTTAAAAAAAAAAAAAAAAAAAAAAAAAAAAAAAAAACTGTAACAATTGCTCAAAATTAAAAGCTATAAATGCATCTTTGATTTGAGGTAAATCCATTTGTAGATAATAACCGTTCATCAGTTCACTGGAATCAAACTGCAGCAGCAGGAATCTAAATGCTACAGCAGACATGAGGCTGACACAAGCAGTTTAGCTCACAGTGAACTGTTTGCAAAAAGGGAGAAAATTAATAAAGTGTATGTGCATTTATGTATGTGTGCCCAATATACATTCAAAGTTGATCCATTTAGAATATATAACACCTCTCCAATCACATGAAAGTCAAATACAATCACTTGGAGCACAAACACCCACACTAATCACCTTCGCCCAGTGAGGTGACATGGTGATTTAAAAATCAGAGCCACATCCTCAACCCAAACAATGTGATTAGAATCACTCAGTGTCTGACAAATGAGGCAGGGCTGGAAGCAGATTCACAGATTGTTTTCTTCTCCTGCTGTTGGTTTATGGACACCGGTAACTCTTACATTTATTCTGCCCCTGCTTTATTATAATGCAGCCAGCATCCTGAACGGTATCAAGCAGGGACATCTGGATAACACTTTGAGGCCGGCATCGCCCATATGCTTCAAATGCAGACAAAGTTCACAAATACACACAAACTACAGAGAGAGAACTTCCCAGGACAAACTACCTGTACGGCCAAAGTAGTGTTGCTGTAAACAAATCCACAGCCCTTCCCTTTCCTGACACCGGTGAACCTCACACAATGAATCGCTTTATTGGAAGAATGCTTTGATTATACATGAAAAAACAAACGCCGCCAGTCTCTCAGCTGCAGACGGCTTGTCTCATCTTAAGCAGTATGAAGCGGTTTGGCCTTGGACAGAGTACGTAGGGACAGTCATAAAAGCCCTGTGACAAAGTACTCCCCCTGCTTTTCCTATTAGCACCCTTTTCATTAACCTTGCCACAACAACAGGAAATCCATATCCATGCATTTTTTTCCCCTCTAAAGATGAGCTTACTTAGATAACCAAATGCAAGCAGGCAGACACCATCTATTGGTAAGTTTTTTCTCCTCTCCACTTCCTGCTGGGGATGAAATATTTCCAAAGGAGTCTCAAAGCTGCCGGTGTCATCAGCTAAGTGTCCTTGGCAGAACCGGCTGGAGCGCAATGCATCAAAATGACAACTTTCAAAGTGAGTATGACTGGGGGTGGGAGGAAGGGGTCATTAATAGTCAAGCTTCGGCCTGTTTAGTATCACCACACCGGGTGATGAGAATACAATGATAACTTTGCACCATGTGTGGAGACATCCAGGTTTCTAATTAGACTGCTGCTGTGGCAGCAGATGTGAACAGCTGGAAGCACTCATCAAGCTGAAGATCGTTAACCAGTGCTCGGACCCTGACAGATAAATGGATGAACAGATACATCAATAGATAAGCATCAAGCTTAATGGCAAGTTAGCGGGTACCTGCCATCACTGTGAAGGCTACAAAATGCTGCGCGAGGTGCACTATTCAAATCTGCCATCTTGGTATCGGGCCCAATACCAAACAGTTCCTGTCCATACAGGACCAATTCCCTGTCTCTATCAGTCCAACTACCAATTATTCCACATGGTGGATTATCAGCTACTCACAGCAAACCCCGGCTTGAAGATACCTAAAAGTGATGCAAAATGATGTTACACAGTGAGGTAAAATAAGTTCAAACAGCCAAATTCTTTGATCCGCCTGTAATCAGGGTGAGAAACACTACTGAACACAATAGTAAACAGTGAAACCTAAAACATCTGGATACGTTTCATGGAAAGCTGCAGTGTGGTTAATAAATTACAATTAGAGTCATATAAGAAGTTAAAATTTCACTAAGTAAAGCTTTAAAGTTCTCAAACTAAGGCAATCGTTTTGTCTAACTGCTCTATGAGTGCACAAGGCCACAAAGACTCAAGTCACTTTTCCTGCTACATGCCCAGTCCCTGCAGGACAACTGTACGGCTTGATGTTGCTGGACTGAGATACAACATGTTGCCCAAACAGGTCACTGGAAGCCTGCCTATCACAAGTGGAACAGAAACCCTCACAGCTAGATGGCCTAGTTAAGTTGGCCAGAAACCTCTGCACGGATGAGCATGTGCGCATGAATAAAATGTGTCAAAAAACACGTATTAGATAGATATCAGCCTGATCGCATAGGTTTCTGAACTCTTTAATGAGTTAAACCTGTCTGTGCTGGTCAGAGGCCTGTGGAAAGTCTGGCCCTGTAGTGAAGCCATTTCTTACTTCAGGGGACCGAGAGTAGCCAACCAAGCTGGGCCAACTTCCTGGCTGCCATCATCCAGCTTTTTCCCTTCTCTTCACCCTTCCCCAGCCTTAATCCAAACTATGGCCACTGCCACAGGCCTCATTTCTTTACAAGCCAGGGCACTGATTCTGGGGCAATGCTGTTTCCTCGTGGCCCAGAGGATTACTATCCCCATGGTGGAAAGTTTGAAGACATATAGGGATATGGGGCTGCAAGGTTTATAATAAAGTGTTATTTAATCATCGTTTCTAGATTGCCGTGTAGACCTCGCCTGTACCCTTTCCCAGGGTGGGGGAAGAAAAAGCCCACAGAGAGTCAGATCCTCAACATAACAGAACATCTCTCTTCTTCTCCAGCTACATGCATCAGCTGTGTCTCTTGAGAGTTATTGTAAGTAACTAACCCTCACAGTGTAGATGCAGGGTGATGTCTTTTTTCAACAGTGGCCAGAGCTTAGTGACAAATCTAGAGCGAAGGCTGGAGTTTCTTTGATAACAGGCCAGGCAGATGGTGAGTGCCAACTGTAACATAAGATTCTGTCACTTTCTGAGACAAGAAGCATACTTTGCATCACCAAAATAGACTGAATGTATCCACAGAGCAGAATAAATGCTTCAAACAGGCTAACAACTGCTCTCTTAGAGACCGCTTTCATACAAAATAGCACCGCACGAAGCCAAGTCCAAATACACATCTTTTGTAATCTATTTAAAATCAAGGACATATTAAATTAGGCCTCTTGAATAAGGTTTTGAAAGAATGGTCTCAACATCATCTTTCACATGATTTTGGACTACCAGAAGACATCATCTATGTGTGCATTGGACTTTACCTAAGAAGTCTGCAGATGCTGCTCCTGTAACTGAGTCTCTGGCTTGCAGCAGCCACGCTGGGAGGCATTGGTGGGCGTGCAGGGAAATAGAGCAGGACTGCTCCAAAAAGCACAGCAATAGCAGCCAACTCTGCCGGAGCACAGCAACGTAGAGGAAAAGAGACATACATGTTATTTTCAAAGATGAGACAGTCAGTCCAGTTTGACATTTTAAAAAAAGGTCACCGTGACATCTAGAAGTCCTCTGAAGCCATCCCCGTGATGAACATAACAGCCCACTAGACAAGACTGTAGAATAAATGCATCTAACAAAACGATGCAATCTGACATAGCATCAGCTGATATCACAACTCGTCTCTTAAAAAAAGCAATGCATTTACTAAAAAGCTCCATTGTAGCCACATTAGTGGGTCGCTTTCATTCCATCATATGATAAGTGATACAATATCAGCTTACTTCTTATGTGACTCCTTTTTACTTCTGAAAACCTGCAAAACTTTTGATTCACAAAAATGTATCCGCTTTGCCCTTAAGAAATTAATAACAATACTACCTTAGGTTAAACAAAAGCCGCTGCCTCAATCTATTACAGCATGCCTGTTTCTCTTTTCAGCATGCTTTTAATTTTCTGAATCAGTTAAGCATATCAGCCCTAAAAAGCCATTATTCAGAGACGCAGTTATGAAGATTATAATTGGTGTTTTTGGTGTTTGTGCAATATTCTTGGATCCTTTCGCCTGATTGTATTTCTGTCCCTTGACGGGGCTGACATGATGTCGAAATGATGCGATATCGATCCAACTTGCCCTCAGAGGCTCTTGCTTTTTCTTAGTACCTGCATACATTACTAGCTGGATCCTGTCCCGGATGAAGATGTCGGAAACCGCTGCCGAGATCGTGGTTAGTGCCTGAGTGTCATTGGGAGCTGGAACTATCAGAGGTCCCACTATGAATGAAGCGGCGCCTCCAAGGTAGGAGAAGAGTGAGGCCACGGCTGTTGCTGTGGCTCTCTGATCAGGGGCAAACCATGTGGTGGACAGATAGGGGCCGGCGCTCATCATGGTGGGGCCGGCTAAACCATTAAGCAACTGACCTCCGTGTATCAACCTGTAAAAGAAAAAAAAAAAAACGTTCTTATTTAGAAGACATACATGCCTCATATCAAGATGTGCCAGGAAAACACTTCTCTGATATCCCATTGAAACAAACAAAACGGCAGCAGCAGAGCATCACCCTCAGTATCCCTATTAAGTTCAAAATAAACTAAATAAGGACATAAAGTAATGAGGCATTTCTTTTGAGCACCTAAAGGAAGAATGACAGGCGAGGGAATAAAAATAAAGGCATAATTATCCCAGAGGAGTCAAGTAACCACCTGCCCCTGAAGTTTCTTTCTAACTTCTGCACCTTCAGACTGAATTGTGTGAGACAGATGTATTCTGAGATGTCCCCGGATTCCACCAGCACCCCCACCACCCCACGGCCCCCTCCAGAACTGTCTGACCGAGACAGCCAGCCGCTGGAGACGGCTCACGGCTGATTGATTGTCTGTACGCTCAGTAAAGACTCCCTGGCTCAGCAGGGAGAGAAGAGAACGAGAGAGGAGAGGGGGACACGTGAAGATGTTGGGTTAATTCTGAGCTTATGCCATTTAAAAATCTTCTATAATATTGACTGAAAAAATATTATCAGTATCAAAATTATTAGATTTTACACTAACACTTAATATAAAAAAATTCCTTGAATGGCATTTTGTTTGACAAAACCTTTAATTCTAATACTGAGCCCTGTCGAAACAAACTAGTTTATGCCTGCTTTATGTCTAAAGCAGGCATAAACTAGTTTGTTCAGTCTCCACTGTGCTGACATGTCTCTGCCCTCTAACTCGTTCTAACTTTGGAGTCCACTGCCTCTGGGGTTCACAGATAAATGTGTCACAGCAGAATACAAAGTGCTGTGGTCAGTGACAGGCTGATTGGAGAATAACTTGTTCACCCTCTATCTTCTTCCCACATCTCAGACCTGCTAACATCCCCTCCTACACACCAACACCTCCTAAAATACTCTGTGCCTCATACTTTTTATTCATCCCACCTCTTCTTTCCTTGTTTCTCAGTCTTTATCGCTAACTGGGTATGTTTTCAACACTGACACTGAATAACCTGGTTATCCGAGTCCCCGTTTACACGATTCTGACATCATCGAGCTTCTCTGATCTGGTCATTTGCGTTGGTGCAGACATGTCTTTGACTCCTCCGCATCCAACGTGTGTCATTTCTGTACCGAGTGAGTTAACTCGACAGGATGCAGATGAACCCAGTGCCAGGACACTGCTGTATTTACAGCTGTCATTTTCTTCATCTAATTATGTGAGAGGGGAAGTGTGAGCAACAAGCAGTAAAAATTTATCCTCATTATTGGCGTCACACTGTCATTTTCACTTAAGCATGTAGGTTATCATTACATCACTTGTCATTATGTTTTCATTGACTTAACTACATGATTTCTATCAAAGAGTCTCCCTATCATTACTTCTTAACTAAACATAAACACCAGATTCAGCAAACGAGGTGTTGACAGAGCAGCCAGAACCAAAAATAAGTGGTCTTCATGCTCTCAAGCACCAAATGTGCTTTTCTATCTACCCTACTGCATAAAAACCTCTTGAAACATTCAGAAAATGATTTGCAGCAACAGAGACTACTTTGGTAGCTCTGCATCTTTGATTTGGCAGATTTTTTGATTTTCAATCTCCCCGGGATCTAAGCAGGGATCCTCTGCTTGTGTAAATGTGTAAACCACTACACTATGGAGCCACTGGTATAATCTCTGTATGATTAAGACTTGTGTGTACTGGCAAAAACAAAATCTACAGCTGCAATAGTTGGCATCTTATTGTGGCCGTCCTCCATTTGGATGGGTCAGTGTGCAAAGATGGCAATGCAGGTAGCACGAAGCAAGCAGGTCTATGAATTAGGCAGCACGATGTGAGCAAAAGCTAACATTTAATTTGTATTTTATGGTAACAACGACATGATTTATAATATGTTCTTGATACATATGACATTTTTTTACCTACCACACCGAGCCTTTGAGTCAAGCTGTCTGTCTGTCATTGTGTCTGTTGAATTGAAATCGAGAGCTACCCGGAGCCAACTAGCACAACAGTCCCAATCAGGTTTTTGGGCGCACGTACTGATTACGGTCTTATTCAGGACTCAAAAGGGTGCAGACAGAGTGGTCCTGTCCACCTGCTGTACTAGACATTTTCATTAGATGATGATTATTCCAAACCTGGCACTCTAATCAACTTTCTCCAAAAAAACAAAAACAAAACCGACATTTAAAGAGACAAAGATACGCAGCATAATTTACAACAGTAACTGTGACCTACAGTGATCTCATTTTGAATCTCACCAACAATCGAAGCAGCTCAACTGTTTTGTTTTTAAATTGCATTTCATGCACAATACAAACCAAATTAAAACTTATGGAATCAACTAATAACCTGAACAGTCGACGGTGGCTTTCAGCACTTCACACCTTTTAAAAAGTTTGACAAAGTTTGGTCAGTAACCAGCCTCGCTGTATTAGATTAGAGAACAGATGAGACTAAAAAAAGTGCCTTTAATATGACAGGTGATGAGGACGGATGGTGACTAACACGAGGATGAGCGGTCACATGAGACTGCACTGTGGCTGGCGAAGCAAAGAGAGGGAATAGAGCAGCTTTTTCAAGAAGAGATGATTAATCACTATTTATGAACCCTGTCAGACTGAATCTGATTGAGAATGAGACAAAGAAACCTGCACTACAGCGAAGTCATTTGACTGCTTCTGCTCTGCCTGAGCTGACAGACCAAAATTCAGCCATCACAAAAAGGCCAAACCAATTCCGCCTTGAAAATGGCACCATCGCAATTGTTGGAGTAATACGATGGGATCCACAATTTTTTTTTTTCTGATGGCCAATCAGACATTGTCGGAGTGAGTCTGAGATGTAACTGATAGACGCTAATCACACAGCTGGTCTGTATTCGAATTCATAACACAGACGGAGATTGAAATAGCAACAGAAACTAGTAGATGCATGAAAAGCCAGGAAAATGAGAAGGGTTTGAAAAAAGAAAAATAACCTTTGATTTGAGAGCAGAACTAATCACAGCAAGGTCTAATCAGTGACTGCCAATTCAACAGCACCTTTTATCTCCTTGACTGAACCTCACAAAACAAACATTTTTTAAATGTGGCTTCACAGAAGATCTCATTTAAAAAAAAAAGAGAGAGAAAGTTCCACTTTTCAGTGTTCAAACATTCACAGCTCCCTTTGATTTTCAAAAATGGATCTTAAAACCTCAAAACAAAGAGACGCCTTACTTCCTCAAGAGGTTATCATAAAAACAAAGAGGTAATCGCCTTTTTAAACATGAAAAGGAATCTGGAGCAAACAGATCTGCAGGGGGTTACTGAAGGAATGTCACGGTTTCTAAACCTGGATAGACGTCTCCTCAAACTATTGTTTGATCCCGCCTGCAATGTCCTTGAACACCATATCCAAACTTCAGGAATCTGAAAAACTTAACTGCTCCATTATGTCGCGATTCCCTCTCTAAGGTAATCTACATCATCATCCATCTGATAAGTATCCTCTGCATGACAGGCAGGACATTCATCAGCGACACCCGTCAGTAAACAAAGCCCTTGCATTTTGATCACTACTGCAAAGCAAAGAGTGACCTCTACTGGTGATCCAGCTACATTAAGCTTTGAGTCTCTACAGTTCTATAATAATCCAGTATGCCGTTCATCGCCTTAAGATCTATGACCTATAACATTTAATATGCAAATTAAACTGAACTGTGACACACTAACATTTGCCGTGTGATTCATGTCCTCTTTGCTTTCGCCATCCTATCTTGTTTTCCACTTTGAATGCCGTATCTAAAGAGCTGAAGGTCGCAGCAGAGCAGCATAACTCTCATCGTGGTACGGGTGCACAGCGGGCAGCGTTAAAAACTCTTAGCTCGACCTGAGCGGACATAAAAACTTGATATGTCATGGCTGGATTCAGCAGAGGTGAAATTGAAAGCTTGCTTGTGTGACTGGCTTTTGGACTGAAGTGACACTCGAGCAACAGCGAGAGGCAAGTTGAAAACTTCTAACAATACTGCCCTCGAGCGCGTCCAAAAAGAAGAGGAAGAGCTTGGTATTTTATTCCATTTCCTCTTTACAGTAAAAGCCTTTTGCAACATTAGCGTGGTCGAAATATGTGTGCATGCACGTGCTTTGGGATTTATTTTTTTAAATAATTTATGTCAAGTCAAAGTTATGCTTTGTGGAGATGATATTTTTACCTTCAGCTTACAAGATGTGATTAGGCTAAAAACCACTTCAGCTTCACAGACCAACACTCAACGATGCGCATGCTGTTGTTAAAGTTTAACAATTGAAGCTGAGTTTACATGTCACTGCTGGAGGTATATGAATTTGCAACTGCATTTTCAAACTGAAAAAGAGGAGAGACACCGACCATTACCAGGCAGAGACTAATAAAAATGATAAATAAGAAATATGGAAGTGTAGAATCCAGTATTGCTGCCCTCTAAGAACTGAAAGTCAGGATATAGGATGCAGTCTCTTCTGAATCTGTTTCTAAATAATTTAAATCCACCAACACTTTAGTAGTGTAAAGACACTGGAGTGCTCTTCATTATTCTGAAGTTATGTCTTTAAATTTAGTGCTAAAATAAAAACTTCAGCTCTCTACAGTCTCTCGAACAACAACAACAAGAAAAAAAGATTCCATAGCTCTGTTTGCAGGCCAGATTTAGGTCACTGTCGCTCTTTATTGGAGACTTTTTTTTAAGGCCATATGGTAGCTTTGATGAAGCTCAGCTTTTACTGCATGAAGACAGATTTCCTGACAAGAAACTCCTTTGCTTTGGTATTTGTCCCTTTTACATAACAGGTAGTTCCAAATGGGAACATCCCTGTCTCAGCGAGAGTAATTTGCCAATGAAAACACATTAATAATATTAAGCTTTTAGGTCACACTGTAATCTATCAAAGGTCAGTTTCCCAGATAAGACATCTGCCCACATCTGCACATGGCCCAAATGTATTGCATCTTTCTTTTAAGAGGACTTAGGCTACTCCTGATTTAAAGCTTTAGGGTTATTACAAACAGGCTGACAAAAATACAAAAACTCAATTTTATAATCATAAATTAAAGTTGCAAAGCTTGATATTTCACTCCAAACTGTAAATACTTTTTTGGGACAGACTATCGCCTGGAGATCGTGGTTATATCAGTTATTCTCCTTGTACACTGCCAGGAGCTTTTCCTGCCTTATTTCTTTCTTTAGGCTGTATCACTATATTAGCAGCTAGGTTTTCTTAGTGCAGCCTCACGAGACAGAAAAAGAGAAACAAATTAATTTATCTGCTCTTTGAAAGCCAAAACCTATTTTAAAAAGCTCCAACTGCATAAAGTGAAAGTGATATGTGACTTATTCCATGGAAATATGATTCTCTTTATTCATTATAACATACTGCCTCATTGTGAAGCCCAACAGGAATCATTACACAGATTACCACCAAAAATATTCAAGGAAATTAGATTTTTTAAGGCACTGTATAATTGAAATGACCTTCTCTGAGCTCTTACCCTTTCTAAAAATGAGAACACTGAACTCAAGTGAAAATGAGAATGAAAGTGGGAAACTGGTTTCCAGCAACAGCCTGTCAAAATGCTGTCTGATAAGTGAGAAAACTGCCAGCAAAGACACCAAAAGAAGCAAAGCGTCCACACAGTGTTGATCTGTCCTTCACAATCACATCCTCTGCCACATAAATAGTCTCATTGTCTCTATGCAGTTACAAATCTGCATATCAAGAATGAAAAAGAAGCACGACCTCAGCTTCAGTACAAATGCATACAGTACAAGACCCTAAGAGGCCACTTTTGTGCAGACATTCATGATTTATTGACTTTAGTAACTCTCTGATTTTTCCTGTAGTGATATCAAGAGGTTGATAATTACTGTTTGTTGTGTTGCGATATGTGACCTTTTGTCCCTTCAGTGCAATTTGAAATGTAATTACTTTATTATTCTGTCCAATACTTTTGCTGGTGACCATCTTGGAACATTTAGAAAGCACAAAAGTGACATGACAACAGAAAATTATGGACCTCTGACATCTGTGCATGCCATCTTGATTAACTGTTACTGATTAAATGATTCATATTTCTTCTTTTAAAAAAACTGAATGGAAACAATTATATGAAAAAAAGTTTAGTTTTTCACGTACTGCCAAATCCCAATTTGTGTAATCTTGTCAAACGCATTGCACGCATTGGCAAACATCACACAAGGGTAACTTTTCCATGGTCCTAAGTAACTTTGGCCAGTAGCTCATTTCATTTTCAATGAAACGCTGTGCAAAGCTGGTCCTAAAATGATTACGGCACTCACTCAGAAAATTTGCCTAAACTGAGTTATGGAGACTATAGAACCTGTATAACTGCAGTGCAGCTCATGAGTCACTTTGCACCGCCTTTCCAAAATCTTTCAAATGATCATCATCACACTTGCATCGTGCCGCCATCTGCTACCTTAATATTTACACGGGCTTCTTACCATCGTCTCAAAGGCTGGCCTGTCAGTGGGATACTTCTTAGAGCTGCTCCTAGCACCATGAAGAGGGTAGAGAGGAGGAGGGATGCTCGCAAACCTGGAATACACAACACACTGCATCAACACCGACGTGTAAGAAAAAGTAAAGAGACAGCAGTGAACATGGTAGGGATTTCTCAATTTCTGCTATGACAAAGGATTATTTCTGTTCTTATTGAATTAGTTATCTAACAATAAAAAGAAAAAAGTAAAAACAAAATCCAGTTTCCTGGAGCTATAAGAGACTATAAAATAAATAAATAGATAATAAGCAAAGAATGATAACAGAGGAAAGCAGCAAATTAACACATTTTAAAATCTGGAACAAATATTTTACATAATTACCTTGACCAAGGAGATTATGTTTTTGGTAGTGTTGATGTCAGTCTGAGAGCACGAAAAGTTATGAATGAATGCTGATAAAACTCTGAAGGGGTGTAGAGGGGGGTCAGGAAGTACTGCATGAAGATTAAAACATCCTGTCACTGCTGACCTCTGACCTCTCCTTCAAGATCAAAGTGATAATAATGCTACTTAAAACCATGTTTCTTACTGCCTTTGTTTGTATGAGGAGCATTTAAGAATTATGGGGATTAGGGCTGGGTCATATCATACCGTTCACGTTAATACCGGTATAATGTTAGGCAATGATAAGAAAATGAAATATCGCGATAGAAAATGGGTAAAATGTGCATGCGCAGTGCCTTAGTTTACACATGGCAGAAAAAGCATAGCGGCGATGGAGAAGGGCGAAAGCGGATCGTCGAATGAAACAGATGAACCAGAATTGGTTTGTAAAAATGCTGCAACTTCAGTGGTGTGGAACTGGTTTGACTTTCTTTCCTCAGATACACACCAAAGCACATTTTTTGGTAGAGCATGCAAGCGCATGCACATAAAAAACAGCTGCTTGTTTAAGTGAAAATACATTGATGGGGTTTTTTTGCACTAATAAAGTTGTGGAGTTGTAAAGTATTTTGTCTCGCGCCACTTATATCGTCAGTTATATCGTTGTCGCAAATTTTCCAAATATATATCATGATAAATATTTTTGGCCATATTGCCCTGCCCTAATGGGGATTCTAAAAATACACATTATTATAATTTGCAGCCAACATTACAACGTTACATTTCTCATCTGCCTTTTGAGTTGACAACTTGACCCAAAAATCTGTTACAGCTTTAACGAAAGTATTGCCAAGAGAAAGACTGAGCTGCCTGGTTAGTTAGAAATATACTGTAGTGCAATTATTATACAATAAGCTCTAGTTAAACATGGCCAATTATTCACAAGTGATCTAAATTAATGATTACAGTCTACATAAATACAGTTTTAACCAATAACTGAAAGGGATTGGCCAGCATCACTAACCAAGCAACAACTAAAATCTTAAAACAGAAAATTCCTTCTTAAATATCACTTGTGTAACAGCAAAAGTATGAGAACTGTTTCTTTCACCATTAACTCAAGTCTCATTTCTCAGTTTCATCCACATGACAGCCATTTAGAGAATTATGTGCACTTCCCCATTCTTTTCTGCATGTGAACTACCATTTCTGAATGTTTGATTGACAGGTTCAACTAAATGACCGCTGTGGAAAGAGGATCAACATATTAACAACATCCTGTAGGGCTGGGTCTAACTGATGAGCAGAATGCAGACTTTATTGATACCAGTGCAGTTATGAATTCTGCTCCTCAGTTAGATTATTTATCAATTCCGTTATTGACCCTTGATCCACTTTCTTTTTAGAAAAATGAGGACTGTGCAAGTTTTGAGCATGAAAGCGAAATAACAGCAAGACTGTATGCAACTCACGTACAAGAGCTTCACTGCCATGAGTTGAACAAGTTTATAATATACAACCTCATAAAACCATTCTGAGCAGTATCAACGGAAGAAAAAGAGAAGCTTGAACGTATTCCAATAAACTGGATAGCTTCCCCACTTCATATCATATAAGCTGATGCTATATTGACTTCCTACTATAATGGCACCTTCATAGACACAGAGGCCGAGAAGCAGTTGTAGTTCTGCATTAAGGTTACATAGAAATAGCCACCTTTGCAAGGTTTGCCAACTAGAACTAGTTGCAGCAGGTAATCCAAAAATTATTATCTTAATATTTGCTAAATTGTTTCTACCAAAGCGCAAACAAAAAAGGCAAATATTTGCCACTTCCAGCTTTTCCCAATATGCAATTTTTATGTTTTTGTCATTTATTATTCATGCTCCTCAATTGTTCATCAGTACTTATGAGTGAAAAACAAAACATTCATAATGTTTGTCTTGAGAAGGCTTTAGCTGTACTGAGCAGCTCTCTAAATGAATGCATGCACAACTGTGACCACATTTCCAGTAAATGAAAGAAAAAGCCAGCAACATATTTTAGAGAAATGCTGGAGGCCATCTACCGTAAATGAGACCTGCAAGTTTACAGCTGCATACTTCAATGCACAGTATGCATCTACGTGCTCAAGAGACAGTTTGTTGACATGAAGGGCAAGTTAATGATCACTACAACTGCAGCCGAAAAGCTATAGTTACTTCCATATATTTAGATATTCATTTTATGTCCTTGTCACAACTGGCACCATGAGATGGTATATGCAGCCCATTCAATTTACACAGGTAGTCCAGCTACCTGTCTCTTGGCACTGTCTCATGAATGAGGAGATACCAGGGGAGGGCTGGTACATAGTGGCAGTTGGACAGGCCCATTTAAGGCTTTGACACAACAGCAATAGTGTATGTGCAAGTTTGTGCAAAAAGGAACTGGAAGAGCATTCCCAGAGCTCTACAACATGACCACCGATGGGATTACTCATGTGCGTGTTTCTAACCAAACCCTCAAAATCAGACTCCATATGAGTATCATGAGGGTCCAGGTTGCTTTCTGTGCTCACAGAACAAAACCATGCTCACTTTAAATGAGAGGAAAACAGGCAGGTCTGCCACTGGTGCCCAGTTTTCCCAAAGGGAAACCAAGTACTTTCCCCACAGTCGAGCTGGATTAGATCTAAGCATATCATAACCTTTGCAAGTCATATAAGTCTTTTTGCAAGGGCACACCATGGTTGACACTTCTTAACTCAGATGCAGACATGACCACAAGGTTTTTTGTAAGGTCTGAGTGGAATCTACACCAGGAAGAATTTACAACAAGTTACTGAAAGAAGCAGATACCATTATCGAGTTGCCTACAAATAAATTAGGCAACAAAAACACCTAATTGTTAATGTGATTGTGATCACAAGGTGAGTTATGCAACTTCTTGGCAAGATTGTGCATGGACCAGCAGTCTGGTGTTGTTAGTGCCTTGTTACTGTTTTTGTCATCTGACAACCAGCGTGGTCATTACAAACTTCTACAGTCAGGTGATGCAGAGGAACTGGTTTGGTAAAGCACACGCAAGAGGGCTACTTTCATTCTTTCCAAGAAATACTGCTTTTGAACCTGAAAATAAAGATTTTTTAAAAAGTAAATTAAGACTTGCTTGTCCCATATAAGCACTTTCCCCCCCCCCACCTCCCATGTTTCCAACTCATCTATGTGTCTTACTGGGCACAAACAACCCATTTAAAAACTGAATGAAGACTATAGTCTCTTAAATACTGCATTTTATCAGAGTAAATATATTCTGCGATTGCATAAGGTCAAACTAATGATAAGAGAAATTTTCGAAACCTAAAACAAAATATGTCATTAAGTTACATCGCTGTAGATCTTGGTGGGGTGAAAAATCACCAGGTCAGGCACAATCATCGTTGAGGTATGACACAGTGTGCTAAATTAAAAGAACTCACCTTTTTTATCCATTAACCACATAAACAGCAACCAAGGGAGGAAGCCAGCCGGGCCCCACAGCACCAAAATCGCGATGTCAGACTTGGTAAAGCCGTAAGCGTGAGCGGCTGAGTTCTGTATGGGACCCCAGAAGTTCCACACCATTCCCTGCATCAGTGCCAGCAGGGAAAACAGGGTCAGAACCAGCCATCTTCTCCCATACACTCTGCTGTTTACCGGATTAGTGTTCGTCTCCACATAAGAAGGAACAAGAAGCGGCTCCCTCTCGGCCTCGGTGCTCGAACCGGCACCCATATTAACCTCCCGTTTGTCAGGCTAGTTAAAAATTCCGGTTTTAACGACGGTACAGCAACGACAAACTACCTCGGCCACACAAACAAAAACAGCCGATAGCGTCTAATGTTTGCTTTAACTGCGCATGTCAAACCGGAAATAGTTGCGGGTTTCGGAAACTGTTCCTATGTAGCTGCCATTTCGGCTCGTCTGGTGAATTAGCGTAAGCGGGTTTTTTGTAGTATCACAAGAGTCCAAATGGTGCAGATTCACAGCGATGTGTTATAGACGTAATTGGAACGCGTACGCTGTCATGTGATCTTTGTTTACTTCCGCCCGAACCTTGTCTACACGTGTAGTGAAAGGTGAGTCCTGGTGTTTTTTTCCAAGGATCCTGGTATTTCTTCTAAGCTAGTTTCTTAGCATCTTTCTACAGTGTAAATAGAGAAAATATGTTCACAAAGACGAAACATAGCTAGCCTAGCTATCTCATTACTTCACACCAGACGTTTTAAGTTGTCTGGGGAAATCCCAGGTGTTCCTAATAACATTAATAATGGCCTTGGTCTTTTCCAGCTCTCCTGTAATTAATTATACATTTCACGCTTGTACTTGTTGAATCAAACGCCACCTGAGCGCTGTCTGTCCCTTTATAAAGCGCCTTTTGAGCCTAGGCGTTAATTCTTTCCTCGGAGTTGTTTGATAGTTCTTCAGGAAGTTGCTCATTTCTGTCGTGTAACGCTAGTTAGCGACATTTTGTCAAGTGGGAAATATCAGTGATACCAAGTCTTATTATAATTATTTGACCAATTATAAGTGGAAGAATATACCTAAGAGTATCCGGAAGTAGAAAACGGTACCAATCTGGATCCAAGTTGTTTAAGAAGTTACAAAGAGCGAGAATCAAAGTTTCACTGATATCCGATTACCAGTTAAATTCTAAATAGGAAATCCCCACTGTCCTGTGGTAGATAAATGCCATCTGATCTGAAAGGTAATAAAACTTCTTGATTTGCTAACAAATAATATTTTATTGCTGTTTTTCCGCCATAAAATGTACATGCACTCCAAGGTCACGTCATCATTTACACGTTGCCAGTACTGGGTTTGAACCCCCCTTTCCCCTCAGAATTGCCTTAATTCCTAAAGGTATATATTCAACCATAGCCTGGGAACCTTTCTTGGAGATTTTGGTCCATGTTGACATAAAATCACACGTTTGCTGCAGATATATCAGCCGCGCGTCAATTATTTGAATTCCCTGTTCCATCAGATCCCAAAGGCGCTCAGCTGGATTTAAACCTGGTGACTGTGGAAGCTATTTCAAGTCACTGCCATGTTAAATAAACCACTTTGAACTTTGTGGTATAGTGTGTTATCCTGGAAACAGCCATCAGAACATTCACACACTGTGATCACAAAGAAATGGACATGATCAGCAACAATAATCGGTTAGGCTGTTGCATTTAAGCAGTTCTCTGCTAGTATTAAGAGGTCCAAAGTGTGCCGTAAAAATAGCTCCTACACCTTTATACCACCATCAGTCTGAACAGTTGGTACAAGACAGAATGGATCCATGCTGTTTATGGCAAATCTTGACCCCACCATCTGAATGTCTCAGCAGAAATCAAAACAAATTAGACCAGGCAACATATTTCCAGTGTTTTGTTGTCCAATTTTGGTGAGCCCAAGCACATCATAGCCTCATTATAGTTCTGCTTCTCGGTTTGAACATCAGCAGGTTGTTTTGATTGTCTCTACATACACTGACTTGCTGATATGGTAATGGATTATTATTATATTATATTATATCATGTTTTATTCCGGCACAGTTGAAGCATCCACAATTTCGTTGTACGTGTACAATGACAATGAAGGACTATTCTGTTCTATTATTATGTGAATGCTGTGATGCATTCACACTATTGAGTTTTCTTTTCTTTTATTGAGTTTTCTTTCAGCACACATTAAAAGCTTTGTAGTTTTATTCACTAATTTAACATAGAAGATGAGGAACATGGCTTGTAGGCACTGACTAATAATAAAACATCATCGTTTTTAATCAGCTTTATGTTCCTCGTGTGTTTCATCCTACTGTCAGTGTGTACCAAAGGCTATGGCTGACACCACCGAGATTAATAAACCCTTCAGCCCAGAGGAGACCCGGAGGATTGTGCATCATTTGCAGCAGCCCGCAGTTTTCCTGAACATGACCTGCGACTGGCCTGTTCTCCACTGGACAGCAGTGCATCTGTCAAGCTGTCTTGGTGACAGACTCATCCGATTCCGACTTGGGAGAAAAGAGAAGACACAAGGTAAGTAATTCAATGTATTGAATGAATTTATCTGTAATTACTCACCTGGATTAAACATTCACAATGAAATTTATGTGACCAAAAAGATAAATTCAGTTCCCACAAGCACTCCTATCGGGCTTAAGCTGTTTTATTAGATATTGCATATTTATTAAGCTATAATAAAAACTTTTTTTTTAAAGGAAAACTCAGCTGTTGCTGCATTTAGCTGTTACAAATCTGGGGCTGTGTCATTTTTTTCCTTTCTAATGATTTCAGATGCTGTAACTAAAATTCAGTTTTTGAACACAAAATGAAAGAAGACAAAATAAAAATACAAGACCTGTTAAAATACAAGATAGTGATGATCTATTTCTATTGAGCAATAACTGATCACAATAAACTGAGGTTTGTTTTAGTTCCTAGTATTGTGTGAGCTTATGGAAACTTGTATAGCATTTCAAACAATTTCCAATGAATGAAAATTTATATATTGACATAATCTAATGAAGGTTAGCCGGCTGTTTAACGATGTGATTTATAATGTCTCACAGATGAAAAACACACTGAGGGTCTTTGTTTTTGAGCATCTGCTGTATTTTGCCCTCAGTGTGGCTCTGAAACGGCTCCCGTAATGATTCTTTCTCTGATAAATGACAGAGAGTATGCCCTCTGATAAAAGCTGGCTAATTAGATTTCTAAATCATCTTTTTTAATAGCTGCAACAGCTTACAGGTTGGGCATTTCTCATCATGCATTCTAAATGTCATCACTCAACCACAGACACACCTCGTTTATGAAAAAAAAAAAGAAATAATAAATCATTACAACTGATTAATTTTTCCTTTGAAGTGGGTTAAAAAAAATCATGTCTGAAAAGTGCTGTGGTTCTGGTAAATGAAACAGTTCTCTTAACACACAGTCTTGTGAAAACAAGTTTAATTAAGACTCATGCAGTCCTGTGAAAAACTAAGTCCACTCCAAATTTAGTAGCTTGTATAACCACATTCAGCATCAACGACCTAAAGTAATTGTTTTCTGTATGATTGTTATTGTGGAGCAGTTTTATCCCACTCTTCTTTACATTTGACATTTGTTTATGCACAGCTCTCTTAAGGTCCCACCACAGCATTTCAGTTGAGTTGAGGTCTGGACTTTGGACTATTACAGTATCTTGTTTTGTTTTTCAGCCTGTGATCATTGTCCTGCTGGATATATCAGCAGAGAAGAGGCTTTCTTCTAGAAAATCTTCCCAACAATCCATATTTGTTCCACGTGTTTCTAATTGTACTGAACTTTAACATTTAGCATGCTGACTGAGGCCTGTCTGGGATGTGACTCTTGGGTTTTTTTGGGTTTTTTTACCCATCAGGCGTAAAAGGCTGATTGGGTATTGAGTGGGTGGTGGTGACATGCAACTTTGTAAACACAATAACTCGAGACTGAGGGGACGTAGGATTTTCAAATTGATACCATAAATCCACTAAAAATCTCTGACAACTTTGAATCTTGGTGGTCAAGTTTCTTTTTTTTTTTTCTTTTCTGTATTTTTTTAAATCTTTTGTTTGCGATAACCCGAGGAAACGTCACCTAGGATTTAAAAATTGATACAATAGGTGCAGGAGGATTACTGAGAGCTTGGGGATACCGCTGACAGCTGTCAGTATGTGGGCAGTTTTTGCAGTCTTACCTTGTGGGAAATTTGTCAGGACATTCACTCCTGGGAAGATTGCGGCATTGCGTTAACACACACCTGAATGTTCCAGACCAGCAACCTGTCAAAAATCCTACTTTATGGAGGTGATTACACTCGATAATCATCAGTTAAGCTGCTGTTCTGTGGCTACATATCTACTTAAACCAAAGTTGGTCACTGGTAGTTTAGATCAGCTGAACTGTTTCACTAAAACTGTATAAAACCTTTAACTAATTATTGTCTTGTCTGTGTTTATTGTTATTTTCTCAGCTCCGGCTCCTCTTTTTGAGACCCAGTGTTCCTACGTGGAGGCCAGTGTAGCTCAGTTTCTCAGCTGGACTCAGGGTCAGTCTGGAACAGACGTGGGGCCTTTTTCTGAGTACTCCTGCTCAGAGTATTGGGCTTATGCTGACTACAAATATATTGCCATGATGTTTCAAGATCAGCCTTTCATGTTTGAGGTAACCATCCTGCTGCATGCATGTTGACATGTAACATAAGTTAAACAGTCCAGCTGAAATCTGGCATCAGTGTTTGCACAAGTTTACAAGTTTACTGCTAATCTTAATGATATCTGAGATATTTAATTGCCATTGAAACTAAAGGGCAGTGACAAAGACTTTTGGTCAGGTTATTTTATCAGGTTAAATATCCAAGAAAGCGAGATAAAAGCTAATTAAACTTACCTAAAATTTGAGGATTTAGTGCTTGAAAACATATCGCAGGGATCCATTTTTCACTATATTGATTGCACTTCAAAAAATTCCTTATTTTAAGTGTTGGAGTTTTTTAGTTAAATAATTTTTTCTAAGCATGTAGGCTGCTCAAATATTGAAAACACGACATTTGACCCCATGTATCTGGCTACCAGAACATTAAGAGAACCAGGAGTTGCTCCCAGGAAGTCACAGCATAATTTTTTTATTAGTCTGACTCAGAGCTTGCGTTCTAATTTATCTCAATGGTGGTGGATGGGCTGTGTGTTCAGACAAGCCACTTAGTGTGAAGTGGGCATGTAGGGACACACTACACACATTCACAAAAAGTTTTCTTCCTTAGGGCACACCTTCGGTCCATTCCTTCCATTCCTTCTCAAACAGTACAGACACACTGACCAAATGTTATGTATTGAACAAGAGAAGCACATGTCGAAGATTGCATGACCAAATGTTTGACATCATA